TTTTCTCAAGCTATTTGTTAAGAAGTAAAAGGATGTGTATTTCCACCCACTGCCATAAGTTATCTGGTTTCTTAAAAGGTTAGGTAAGGTGGTACCAAGTGCATTAGATTCTCTGCATTTCTCAAAAGCAGCCTATTTGTAGGAGTGTTAAAATGTAGATATTTATACTGAATTGCAGGCATCAGTGCTTGAAAATGCTCTCTCAGGGTTTTAAAGACCACAGACTGTGCATGAGAACAGAAATGATTAACAGCACTGAAAGCCAAAGACAATTCTGAAACAAAAGCCCATGTCTACTATTCAGACAGCACCCAGGTGGCCTTATATAGCCTCACGCATTCTCCTGATTTTATCATTCATAGAAAATATGTCTGAAAGATACTGTACCAACAGGAAAAGCCAGTCTCCCTATAGGCCACAATAAAGACTAGAGCTGTCCTAAGGTCTCTGGGAGTGCAAATATATCTGTTTCAGTAGTCCTAGTCCATGAGAATGCACACTCCACAGCCTGCAGCTTTATTTTTTGCCAAGTGGCAGGCAGAGAAAATTTGGTCGCAATATGATCTTTTAACACTGCTGAGTAGTTCATTAATATTCATATCCCAGTTCATCTCCTATGGACTGGTCTTACAGGGATTTCAACCACAGATTTCAAGGCACAAACTGCATGAAAATATGAAATAAGTTTTCTAGAAGCAAATAGGATGGCTTCAGTAAAACATAGACATGATCAAAGACAAGTTACACTGAAGGTTTAATTTATGCATCAGCATTGTTGCAGGGAATCTGTCATGATTTCTTTATATGCCTTCTTTTCCTACATCTTCCAGGATCTCAGCAGACACCAGGAACTGAACAGCATTGCTGCTAGTTCCTCCACGGAGTCCAGTTTAACTACTTCCCTGCACAAGGCACCAGCCCACTTCACTGAACCTATTCTGACCAACCAGTTCAGTCCGCTTCTTGTTGAACTGACCTTGGCTGCATTTGCATGACTATCTCTGACATTCTGTTATCTGTTTCATTTCTGTGCTATTCCCACCATCATAATCTTTTCAGGTTTAGCTGTTCCCATGCTTTAATTTCACCTTCTGCCCTCCTTCCAGTTTCTTTATTTGTCTTCAAATGATTTCACTTTACATCTGCTCTTATTCCAGTTTCAGCCCTTTTGTGTCTGTTTATCTACTTTTGTTGACTATGTTATTCTATATATTCTATGTTAGTCTATAAAGTCATACTGTTCATGTGCTGTCTGGATACATGCTATTTGACACTAAATATTACTCTTTAATGCAATACTTTTAAATCCCAAGCACAACAAAATGCCTAGCAAAAAACAAAGCTTACAAGGTATGCAAAATAATCTGCTTGTTCTATAACCTTCTTTTCCAAGCTGCAAATAAATTATCTATGTGACAATCACTGACAAATAATTCCTCTAGTTTTGTATGGTATATGAGAATGTCTGTCAGATATGCAATTGCACCTGCATATGGACCTTAATGCCAGGCAAACAGTGCCTTTGTTCTCTAATATATCCACTATATGTAATACCTGATTAAAAGCAAAAAGAGGGATGTTGAATTCACTTTGTTTTGTCATTCACTAATTTTTTATCTGAAGTAATTGCTTAACCCCCATAAATCCTTTTGGCACTGTTGTGCAGTATTTCAAGAACAGCTTTTATCAGTGCGTTTATGTAGAACTCTCTGTGACTCTTCTACTTCTCATAACATACCTCAGTTGAATGCCATAATAAATCCAGAAGAAACAATGACACTCTTTTGTCTCGACTCTCCATAATTTTCCCAGTACTGCTGGTGTAGATATCTGGAACACTGCAACATACCCTGATTTGAAGTCATGCTCTATCTTCCACCTACTCTGTAGCTATCTGCAGCCTGTTGACAATTGATTTCATCAGGACAATGAACTTATACCTCTGGATTGCTTGGAATGAAAGTAACTCTTTTCCTCAGGGTTCACACAGCAATTTTCTTTATTCAGCTACCTCATACCTCCACTTGCTCCAGTGTACCTTTGTAGATTTTTTTGCTGCCTTGGTAGAATTTGTTCTTCCAGATTCTAAAAGGCCAGTTGTGCTATTTATCTCTTCATGCAGGACATCTGCTTTTAACTCTTTCTTGGAACAGAGTTTCCTGATGAAGGAACTGAGTTAATGCCCATTCAAGCACGTCTACTGTTTCTGCATTCCAGAAGAAGCTTCTGCAAGCTTCTAAACCTCGGTACAGCAAGCTTCAAAATATTCCCTCCATACTATTTCACTCCACACTTCTGTGGTATATGGTTCACTTTTTTTTTTTTTTTTTTTTTTAATTGCTGCTATTATTGGCCCAACTGTATTTCCACCAAAATTCACCTTTAACATACTGCTCTTGTGCCTCATTTTCAGGATCCTCCTTTAGATCTTTCTCTGCCTATCCAGCCTTGCAGTGATTTGTTAATTTTCTGCAAGATACTTTCACTTCTTTTTTTCCTTTAGAATTTGATTGTTTACATTTTCCCAACATTGCCCTGGTTCATTGCTTGTCTATACTGCTTTTAACTATGTGTACTGTCCAATAACTTCCTTTATTTTTTTTTGTATTGCTTCCTTGAATATTTCTCAGATGATCTGTAGTGAGATTTCTTCATCATTGCAAATCAGTAACCTACAATGTCACCTAAAAATGCCCTAGAGGACTACTTTCAAGAGCTATCCTTTAGTATAGTCCTGTACTTGCTGGACACAGGAAGTTGGAGGTGCTTTGCACAGGAGAACAGAAGCAGAAAAGCACTCTATGTTGAGTGAATCTATAGGGTTTCCACCAAATAATGTGAACAAGTTGCTACTGAGCCAGGTGTAGATGAGGGACACAGACTGCAAGCAGGTAGCTCAGAGAGCCACACACCTGAGTTTGCCTCTGAGGACAGCTCTGATTTCCCATCTGATTTCTGAAGACCTGCTCACTTTGGACAGCAAAAGGACAATACTCAACAGTCAATGTCTGGTCCTAGCCATTCAGTGGGTCCTGACGTGGCATTCCATCTTTCTGGACAAAACAGGCTGGCCAAAAAGACACCCACTCTGTCCAGAAGAACACTGTGAGCCACTCTGATTTTTATGGAGCTTGGCCATCAGGCCTAACCCATGGAAATCACTCTGGATTTCCAATAAGTTGAATCTCCAGGAATCTGGAGCTATCAAAACGGAGTGAGACAATTTAATTCCAGCATTGGCAAGACAGCATTTGGACTCAGCAGATTACAAGATGTCCTGCCAGTTCTGGTTTTGGGCACACACTCCAAAGCAGGTGAATCCTTCCTGATTTGTAGTTCCACAGTAAATAAAGCATTTCACAGAGCTCCAGCAAAGATGAAACTAGCTGGCTGCTAGAAAAAGAGGGCCAAGAGAAGTGGTCCATTTCAGAAGAACTACTGTACTTGCTGCCAGCAGTTTCTGAAATGAAAGCCAAATAAAGTAACTGTAGTCTGTATCTATATATCTATCCATATATACCTATATCTATATCTGCATTGAGATATGCACCTGTGTGTAAAACATAAATTTGTATGTACACACTCATGCTAGATAGTATATGTATTTTGTGTGTATGTGTGCACATGGGAGCAGAGGTGCTTTCTACAAGTGATCTGTTCACACTTGCTGTGGTAGACCAGACGCATCTTCAACTCCTGTGACCCCAGATACCATGGTGCTGGAGAAAGAAGGGGTCCTTTGCTCCTCCCAGGTTTCTGGAGCTAATTCACTTCAGACTCTCTCATTTTTACATCTCTGCTTCTGACTCATTTGCCAATCAAAGTATATCTCTATCTCCCTCACTTTTTTACCATCATGTTAAGAGTAGGACAAGTTTTGTGGACTTTGGCAACTGAGTCATAAAAAATGAACCTCAAGAGCTTTGTTATAAAATAAAGAGGGTTGGGCTGGATGGTGTTGCCAAACTTTAAAAAGCTTCTGTAAAAACGTACATTTTCCTATAGTGCTACAAAGCCCATATTTACCTAATAGACTGTGGAAAGTCTAAAGGAGCTTCTACAAAATTTCTTGTAAATAATATTTGTTTTAAGAATTGATATGCATGCCAAAAACAATGTACTGCATTTATCAGCTTGGAACTATTACAATCTTTTTGGTAAATAATATCCTGTTTTCTGAAAAGCCTAAAATGTGTATCTAATCCAATTGTGTCACCTCTCATTTCCTTCAAAGACAGGGAAAAAGGCAAAGTTAAGTCTGAAATTCTGTTTTGAATTAACTGCCACTTTATCTCTAAGCGACTTCTTTGTGCAAAGCTGTTACTGCAAATACTGTTTCAGAGATCATTCAGTCATCTCCGACCCCTGCAATGCGTAACTACAAGGTAGTGAATGCTATCAGCACTATCATCTTGCATTTATGCATGGCATCTCATCCAAAGTGTTCCCGCTTCTTGCAGAGGGATCCTCTTGCTGGGGACCAGCTGCACCCTTCAGGGTCTGGTTCATAGTGTGGATGTGATTGGTAGAGTAACTGGGTTGTAGGAAGTCAGACAGACACTTTGACTCCACTTTAATGTGACATGACTAAAGCAAATAACACCCTCTAAGGTGAAAGCCAGTAGCAAGTGCTCCATAGTGTCATACAGCCGTTGAAAGCAGGAAATTAAGAATATCTTGGGTGTTATTCTCAATTCCATTCATCTCTTTTTACATCTCTCTACCAGTATGAAGAGATCTAAGTGTAAGAAAGGTTCAGACACTCTAATAGAGAATGCAAGACTACAAAAGGTACTTGCATAGAGAAACTTGGTTATCCCAGTCATAATAGCACCAATTCTAGTCAGGACAAGTGTGGTAAAAGATTGAATACTTAAATTGAGTTGATTAAAAACACAATTTTCTTAATTAGATTAAAGTAAATTTAAACTCATTACACTACTCCTTGTCAGTCATTCCAGCCCCTCTCTCTCTCCACTCAGCCATGCACCCACAAATACCTTTCCATACCAGTCCATTTACTCTTGGTCCCTCCTCCTTGTCTTACTCAGCAATCAGGGTCTCCTCTTCTTGAAGGCATCTCCTGATTGCATCGGCAGTCAGCTGCTGAGTGCTGAGAAGCTCATCTCACCTTTGTTCTGCCCAGCTCTGTCATTTCTTCTAGCCGGACTCGTTCCCTACTGCTCCTGTAGCTTTTTTGCTCTCAGCTGCTGGAGAAGGTTGAGGTGGTGAGCCAGAGAGCAAAGAAGAAAGAAGAGAATTTATACTTTGGTATTTTGGAAGCTGGAATCCAGGGAGAAGCTTAAGAACGTGACTTGAGGCCAAAATGCTTTGCTCTCCAGTTACAGAGCAGAGCTAGGCAGGTTTATTCCTATCGTAACATTGTGGCCCATGTCTGGTTGTGAGCTGCCAGCATTGGTGAAGTGCAGTGGGTTCAGAGGAACCTCTCCTTCACTCATCTCCTCTCTGCAGCCATGTGGGAGGGAAGGGATAATAGAAGAATTAGCAGCACAGTGAGAAACTTGTCAGAGATAGAGCAGTCTACTGTGGAGCATAATGCATAACACATTATGAGACTGTATGCCTGGAAGTTATTATGGGGACATCTGGAGGTTACAATTCCTCCTGTCACTGTCCTCCTCAACTGTCCTCTGTTTCCCTCATTCCAGCAGACTTGTGGCCCTGAAACTGTTAAATTGGTCTTTGACTATTTCATTTATCGCAGCTGCTGAGTTGGGGAAAAAAAAAAAAAAAGAAAAAAAAAAAGAAAAAAAAAAAGCTGCAGCTCACTGAAAACAGATGCTGCCTCTGTACTAAGCAGATAAATTAAATACATAAAGAATGAGTCGTGTATAATGTTGATTCTTTGTAAAGTTTTAGTGTTTTTATCCTTGATATTAAAATTCCAAGAACATTGTATCACTTTGTTTTTGATCTGTCTGGATTAGTGAAATATATCATTGGCATTACTTATGAGTTCTGTAAATTAAATGGACTAACTGTAAATTAAATGGACTAACAATTTACCACAGAAATTATAGTAAAGAGAACAAAAAAAAATAAATCCATACAATGTCCATAACTTTTATCCATTGGAGTAAACTCCCCACTCCCACACCTGTGCACAGACCTGCATATACACAGATACACAGGAACGTGGTTCCTCAAAAGGATGCTGGACTCAAGCCCTTCTAGTACACTCTCTCAGAGCTTGCTGGCTGTCCAACAGAGATGTATCCTACTACCTAGTTAGCTGAACTGAGATGAACACTCACCTTTCTTTCAATACACTGCAATAGTCAAAGCTGATCATAAAAATGAATAAGCATGGATATTTTTGTTGGAAACACCTAATCAGTGTTTACAGTTCTATGGAAATGCAATGGTGTGCATAACACTTGAAAACTCAAATGTGAAATATCTGTGTTTTTCGGGTGTTAAATTTAACCAAATTATGATCTTTGCAACTTCGATCTATTGAAACTGAGTCTACTTTTAGGAAAGACAGGCAGGGAGCTTGCGGTCTGCCAGAGCCAGCAGAATTTGGAATTTGGTTAAGTTTCAAGATTTTGTGCCTCAAGTTACATTAAGCAGAATATCTATATGAAAGCATATTAGTGTCTGCATTTATGTATGCTGATTTTCATCTCAACAGTAGGAAAAATAATAAAAATTTAAAAAGAGGGTTTGGCAGCAAAACCACTTTCAGACATGGTTAGGGAGATATGAGTGAAATGAATAGGAGCTAAGGTCAAAGTCAAAGCATGACAACTGCAGAATTGCATGCAGTACATGTTTATATAGGTTTCCTTCTCCTGCCTCCTTTGGCACTTGTGATAATCTTCCCCAGGCAGATGCAAGCAAGATGCCACAGACATCCTGGCAATCACTTCTGGGCATCCAGGTTAGAGTAAATGCTGGGTATGAGGGCAAGGAGTGGTGGGAGGTTATCACACCACAAGGCAACCACAGATACTGCTTAAGGATAATCTATCTTTGTGATCCTTCTGTTATATCTTCCACACAGGATTTAGATGACTCAGTTATTGTTTTGCCCAGCCTCTGTGAGGAAAAAAATGTCTAAATGTGCAGAGATGGGGAAAATGAGGTCTCTCACACTTGCATCTCACAACAAAATTTGGGGAACATCTGCCTTTGCACTGTTTTCCTCGGAAAAGAAAGCCCCATACTAAAAGTCAGTCATTTGACTAGCTTTAATTTGTAGATAGGCACCTATTTTTCCATTTCAGCCAAAACACTATTGTGTTTGTTGCTAATGTCAGAGACTTCAGAACAGCCCTAATCAGCACCCTGTTGCACAGTCTAGTAAAACAGGGGTAAAGCAACAAGACAAGAACAGGAAGCCCTGATCTCCAGATGAGCTGCAGCGATTTCTGAGATGTTGGAGTTCAAGATCCTGCAAGGAGGAAGCAGGGCAAAAAGTAGGACTGCACCCCTGGATTTCAAGAGATCTAACTTTGAACTATTCAGGGACTTTATTGGAGGAATCCCCTGGAACATGGCCCTAGAGGGAAAGGGGGCACAGGAGACCTGGCTAATATTCATGTACCACTTCCTCCAAGCTCAGAAAGAAGCTGAGCAAGGAGGACTGGAGACCTGTGTGTATGGGCAAGGAGCTCTTGGGAAAACTTAAACAGAAGAAGAAAGCATACATGATGTGATAGAAGGGACAGACCGCTTGTGTGGAATATAGGAATATTGTCAGAGAGTGCAGCGATGCAATGAGGAAGCCTAAGACCTGGTTAGAATTAAATTTAGCAAGAGATAAATTTAAGAGATAAATTTAGGCTTCTTCAGATTCATCAGCACCAAAAGGAAGACTAGCAAAAATGTGTGTGTTGCTAAATGAGGTGGGTGCCTTGGTGAGGGCAAATACGGAGAGGGCAGAGTTACTGGATGTCTTCTTTGTTTCAGTCTTCACTGCTAAGGCTAGTCCTCACTCAATGCCAAGACAAGAAACAAGAGAAAAAATCTGGAGAGTGAAAAACTTTCCCCTATTTGAAGAGGATTGGGTTAGAGATTATTTAGGCAAGCTAGACACTTACAAATCTATGGGCCCTGATGGGATGCACCTGTCATTCCTAGGCCATCTTGAAGGTCTCTTCCAACCTTAATGATTATATGATGATTCAAAATAGTAGTATGTAAGCAATTACAGATGGCTAATTTCTTATATTAGGACTGAGTTTATGTATCTTAGTAATTTTCTGTTATTACAAGTAGCATTGTGAGGTAGGTACCATCCTATTCTTTATTATTATTATTTTGATTGCAAAACAGCAATTCTAGTATGTGGTAACTTCTGTGTGCACCAACCTGCTTACACCAGAAAGCACATGCACTAAGTGCCCATGGGAATTAGAGCTGAAGATACATCTTGCTTCTGTTCTTTTCCATAAAGGATAGAATGAAATTACCTCAAAACCAGTGTTAAAAATAAACCCAGGGCACAGGATGGGAGGTGGACAGCAGTCCCTGTGGCCGAGGGGCAGCCTTTCTCTCTGGCAAGCCAAATGGCCCAGGGGAGCTAGCCCCAGAAAAGGGGCCCTCAGCCCCTGCAACCCTCCTCCTTCTTCCACGTGAAGGCATCTTCCATGCTGCTCCCAACACAGCTGCCTTTGGCCACGCATGGGCCACACCAGGTTGTTGAGGTCACAGTGGCCTCCACTGCCCCACCTTTGCCCTATAAAACAGGACCCCTGCAGCTGGCCCACATTTGCTGAGCTTCTAGGCACTTTGACAGCCAACTTGTGTGGCAGCAAGGTGAGTGGCAGGCCTCCTCAGTGTGAGAGGACAGCAATGCAGTCCAAGGAAGCACCGAGAAGGAGTGTACCTAACAAGAATGAGAAATGTCGTGGGCAGAGGGGTAGCACCTGCATCACAACAGACACCAGTGCCCAAGGGACCTCTGGCACACAGCCCACAGACACTTACAGGCAGTACCAGTGGCACCACAACGACACGGGGAACAGGCCACCCCCTCAGCCATACAGCGACAGGGGGCTGGGGCCTTCCCATTGGCACAATGGTGGCAAGGGGTGAAGGCAGGAGCATCAGCTGGACAGCCGCGTGGAGCAGAGGAGTGCCTGTCATCCAGAACACAGTGTGGGACCCAGCCATGGCTGTAAAACAGATGGCAATGTCAAACCCAGGCATGGAAATGAACTGGACAGTAGCATGGGACCTAGGCATGGAACTGGGAGAGTCCCTGGTTTGGCACCCTGGCCTGAGAACATTCCAGATGGAAGGCATCCCATTTGAGCAGTTCCAGGCAAGGGTTGGCTTATCCTTCTGCCAAACGCCGTGGAGTCCATGGAGCCGGATCCACCAGAAGATATGGAGGAACCAATGGAATTGGATGCACCTCAGCCAGACCAGACCTCTGACTACTGCAGCATGTCTTCACTCTCTGCCATGCAAGCACACCAATAACATCACAGGAGTGCCTCGTGAGCTCCCTACTCATCGCACAGCCTTCATCCCAAGCATTAGCTCGGAGCCACCAAACACCATGGACATCCCACAGGTTCACCTGCAAGATGTCCCAGCGATAAAGAACTCTGTTGCCAATTCTCAAGGATTGCATGAGTGTCTCTACAACTACCTTAACAGAAGGTGTGGGGAGCCTCTTTGCACAGATAACTAATGATAGAACTAGAGGGAATGGCCTCATGTTGCACCAGAGAAGGTTTACGTTAGAAATTAGGAGACATTTCTTCTCAGAAAGAGTAGTTAGGCATTGGAACGGGTTGCCCGGGTAGGTGGTGGCATCACAGTCCCTGGAGTGTTTGTTCAAGGAAATGTTGGACCTGGTGCTTAGGGACATGGTTTAGTGGGTGATATTGGTAGTAAAGTGACGGTTGGACCAGATGATCTCAAAGGTCTCTTCCAAACTAAATGATTCTATGATTCTATTCAGGTGTGACTCCAGTAAGGGACTCAGACGGCACCAGACTGCCAGATTTTAGGTGTTTGGCTTCAAGTGGAATCCAAAAGTGTAATT